TTATTTGGTATGATGATTGGTGTCATTGGAATAATGAGATACTTTCACATTTGTTCATTGGTTCCGCATGGATAGCTTACTTGTTTGGTTGGTATTTAAGAAAGTCAAATTATCAAAACCATAAAAATGTTTGCCCACGAAAAGTATGGCTGGATTGGCCGAAATGTCCTCTTAGATTCTCAGCAAAAGTTCAAATATTTGTAATCGTTATGACCGGTTTCATTATTCACCTCACAGATGCGGTTAGAATTACATACCTATCATTATATGGAGTTGATCTTCATGTTAAGTATGGATAAACGTTCTGCCGCTTACACACATTTTTGCATAGTATTTCATCAGACGTTTCAACTTGGGCTTTTGCTCTACTATGCTTTGATAGACTCTCTCATTCTAGTCGGCCGAACTTACATACGGATTGTGAACATGAAGATGACTACAGTTATTCAAGCCATATTTATATTTTCCATAACTTTATTAGCAAACAACGCGTTCCTAAAATTCTCGGAAGAAATCTGCACCCAGTATTTTTATAATGAAAATTTAATGTACATTTGGTTTACTCTCAGTGTATGTCTTCCAACGGTTATCTCAATAATGTCCTCTGGTTTAATTATCCGAATATGCTACAATAGGGAGATCAAAATCAATACTAGTCGTAAATTAATCGCATTACCTGGTGCACGATTACCATATATTTCTTTAAGATCAGTGAACAAGATTATTGCCGCTAAAACGGCATTATTATCAACTTCAACATTTGTAGATTGGTTTTCAATTTAACGTGTTACAATACAAATATTATACCAGTACTTTACTGGGGTTTTACGATCTAACTTCATGTCAACCATTAGCTAATACTAATCGACCAAACTGATTAAATTTGAAAGTAAACTGTTGATTTCAAAACCAAAATTTACATAATTTACTTCATTTAAATAATCTTGGGACAATATTATAATAACAGACTAAACAATTGTATCTTCTATACACGATACTATTTAGTTAGACTGATGAGAGCAATTTAATAGGTATCGAAATATTGTAAATTACCAATAGCAGCTACCTGAGATATTATACATGAAAATGTGACCGTATAAATGTCCAACTATTTTAATATGAAGAAGCAAGCATTACGTAAAGTGATCATTATAAAGTTCAAAACTTGGTTGTAGTATCATTTTAATTTCAGTTAATTAAAAAAAAAGCATTCTTTCACGTAGTTATATTGATAAGTTCAAATCAACAAAATGACCATTAGTAAGTATTATAAGTATGTTTAACTTATGAGCAAAACTTAACCGTGTACACGGTCATTCATGAAAATAAAGCACAAAATCATAACAAACTATTTTGTGGTTTACACAATTAAGTAGTGGTTCATAACTTAAAATTATATGACTTCATTGAATTAGATACCAAAAAAATTAATGTCACGATTTTACAAAACTTATTATTTTCCAGAAACACTTTTCATCCGGTTAGAAAATTACATCATACACATTTCTCAGTTCATAAAGGATCTGATACGATTATTTATCATAAATAACCATCATTATCCTTCTAGTTTAACCATTATTTTGTCTACTATACACACATACCATCAATTAATAATATTTTTTGATTGAGATCATGAACCGATTGATGTTAGACCACCACCTTTGGAAACCTAGTGGTTTTCTTCTATCCTAGACAACTCTATTCGTCCATACAAGCATATATTGTTATATCTGTTCAGCATTAATTTCATTTTTCCCCGGTTTACCACACTATAATATTATTATTCCGTAACTTATATCAATATCAATCGTTACGAGACTTGGGAATCATACGCATTTATATCCGATATTTTAATCGCGTTTCCTACTTGTATTGCTACATTTTTCCTATCTTATTAATTATTCTGTATCATGTATGCTACTGATTGAAACGTAGCTTAACCTGGGAAACTCGGCAATTTTTAATTCATAGAGCTTGATTTATGTTATTAATTGCGGCTATGTTTGACGGTCTTGTGTTGTTTTTGATAGGTATCGTAGTTATTATTATTATCCAATCATCTGAAGGATTCATTTCCCTTCTGACTGTGCTATTGACAGCTTATCGACACCTGGGAAACTTATTATTCAACGTTTGAAAGCCTCGTTCCATTTTATTGTTCCTTTTGATAATACTCCATTCCAGATAAATCGCATCTTTTCAGTTCAGAATGCACACTAATTATATAATTATATGGTATCTCATGTTCTTCTGCTTCTGCAACATCAATTGGTATACCATTATGTCTTTGAATTTGATATTCTGATTAATTTCAATGCGATGGGTAAGCAGGAAATGTACGACTTGAGTAAGCATCACAAACCTTTGGTAATTTCTTTTGAGGCACGATTTTTACTGACAAACACACAATTCAGATAAAGCAATTTACGACTTACGGTTTCGAATCCAATTACACTAGGTTTATTTACCTCAGTTCAGTCCAAAACCTATGGGAAACGCTTTCTTGTGTTTTCTGTAAGTTCATCATCTTTGACCAAACAAGAGTTTCGAAAGCATTCGTCCAATAGTTACTTAGACGGAATACAAAACCTAAGAATATTGCCCGGAACAACAAACATTTTGTTCTATCCATTCGTTTTGAAGCGATGAGCATTGAGTCCAAATCTCAGTTTTGACACCTACAGTGAAATGTCAATACTTCTAATCGACGAGTTTCATATATGATTAAATGAGCGTTCTGGCTTTAACTGTTACTCAGTATTCAAAATATAATCGATAACAATAGTACATATTAAAGTTTATTCTTACTCGATTAGTGTGAATACTCAGCTTGTAAAACAGTTTAAATTCATTTTCTCGGTATCTTAATATATATTTTGTAAATTTTGGGTAAACAATTATTTTCCAAAACGTAAGAAATTTATTTTCAACTGAAAATTGCAGACAGTTTGTCGAACAATTAAAATTTTAAATTTGGAAGACGGTATTTATTGTATAAAATGGTTCATCAACGGAACATTTAAACACATCCACCAATTAGAAGATTGCCGATTCATTCATTCAAATTTATTTAACTCAACTTTATATATCGTTAGTTGTATACAAACTGACTGTAGATAAGTACGAAATCATTATAAAAATAACAATCATATTGCCCTGCAAATTTAGAAATCAAAAGTTACGTTGTATATCACTACTCACTCTCATTCTCTCTCTCTGTGTGTGTGTGCATCATTGTTTCTTCCATTTACATATGAAAACATATGACAGTTATTGATTTCTTGATCTCATATATCGAACCAACTGAATAGAAATAAAATATTTCGAATACAACAAAAAACAGTAAGAACATAACACTAAACATACTTCATCTCCTTTTCTTCATTAAGTAACGGTTATCATCATTCATTCCCAATAGGATAATATTTTTCACGAATCATTTATGCATAATGAAAATATAAGTAAACAAGGTTGCACATTAGTTTACAAAATAAGAATATCGTCGACACAAAATAAATGACAGTTCTGTTTTTTGTTTAAAGAAAGAAGTAAAGTAGCTTTAAATTAAATTTTTTCCACAAATAATTTAAAAAAGGATAAGATTTCCAAATTGTTCTTTATAAGTAGAAAATATTAGTAACCGAATATAAAAATTCACCATAAGTATGAAAATATCCATCTTGGTAATAAATGAATAAAAAAATAATCAGTGGCCATATATATTAATTGCTCAAAAGTAATTTGATTTCACCATTATTATCATTATTATTATTATTATTATCATTAGTAGTAGTAGTAGTAGTAGCAACAGCAGCAGTACTAGTAGTATCAGTATTGTTTTCCATACTTTCAAAATTATCAGTTATATCTAATGACTGATTTTCCGTTTTACGACAACAGTTAAATTTACGACCAAAACAACTGTATTCATCAGTACTTGGATTGTAATAAAATTTCGTTACTGGTAAACTTTGCAAATATTTTGCTTTTGGATAAAAGAACAATACAAATAATATTGAACCAACGATGAGAAGAGCTATCACTTCAATATAGTATCCATCGAATACTTTAACGCATGATTCTATTGGATTAATACATGTCTATTTTGAATTGAAAAGAAAAAGAAAAGTAAATTAAAGTTGATATTTTACACTGAGTTTATAGACATTCATCTATCTATTTATAATCAATTTCCTGTAATAATTAAAATCGTGCAAACATAACAAGAAAAAAGAATAGTGAAGTAATTAGGTGAATATAATGAAAGAAAATATCGTATGCATGTAAATATCATGATTCTCAACAATTTGGTATACATACAGTTACCGAAAACTGTTGCTTTCCTGTTACATAAAAAGTGACGAAATGTAAGAACTAATGTGTTGAGTTTCAAGACAAAATTTTAGTGACGTTATCTGGACAAAGAAGTGAATACTTTAATTTTAAAAAATTACCACTTTGTTTGTGAGTGTTACATTGAACTAGAAAAGCTTAACAAAACACATCTATCTTCATGATTACTTTTTATGTTTGTTGAACTTAATGACCTAAGTTAGTCATATTATAGTAATAACTGTTACGAATTCCCAGCAAGTTTGCAATAAAACATCTTTTATACATGGGCATTTTATGGGAAAGAAAACAATAATATTGAAAGTGTAAACTAATTTTACACAATTAGTAAACCTATAATTATCTTCTATAGATTACTTTGACTGTACACCAAAACAATAACGATATATGAACTTGTAATACAGATACAGATTTTCCATCTTTTCGAACCTGTGAAAGAATTAAAAGAGGTTTTTCTGAGTCCTAGTTCGGACTGATCACTCAAGGGTTAAAGATTAGTGTTCTCATTACGAATTGACATCACCTATAATGTAAACATGCTCTGTAGCCATATTTATATATGAATTTCGCTCAAAAAAACAATAGATGTTCCATTATTTCGTCCACAAACTACAGTGTCACTATGTTCATTTCAGGGTTAAGGGTAAGTTCAATAATTCCAGACAATTAAATGATCAAAGACGGGAACCTTAACCACTATCTTTCCACTGTTTTAGAACCAGGTTGGTGAATATTCTCGTCCACTACGTAAAAGTGATTGCTAGCTATGGATTTTTCTACACAAAAGAAATACGCTTCGTCTTCGCCTTAGCCTTCTATTATTAGTATTTTCATTTCATATACTTTTGTAACCGAAGATACTCTCCTCTTCTAATCTATATTTCGTAACTCTTTTGTTTTTTACTTATAATAGTCTTCAATAACACTTTAATTAACCCTAATAACACCTTCAGTTGTACAGACAAAAACAATTTAATTATGTTACTCGATTACCAAAATAATCAATTATTAACTTTGTTTTTGGACGTTTCCTTTAGGTACGCACACCCGTATATTAATATCATTTAAATTATATGATCCAGTACAAGTGTATACAGTTGATGAGTCTTGAATAGGACGAATCACGCGTCCTGCATCCCACAGTTATCCAACATTCATCTCTGCTTAAAATACTAAAATATTATCAAGTCCATTTCTTTTGTCATCAATCCTACTAGTTATTAGTAGATAGCATTACAACAAACTGTGTTATCATTGAAAAATGAACATACATTGAAAATATTGTACAAAGTATAGCATGTAAATTATATTCACATACGTTATTTCCATCTAAAGTATAGCAAGTGGTATTTTCAGTAGCCAATGAACTATTTGAAAATATCCCACTAGTGTTTGTATGTGTTCCAGAATGACTGGCATTTTTCGTACATGAATGAATTGTCAAACGCTCTATTAGAGCGAGAGAGACAGTAGTTCCTAAAGCACCAGCTATTTTGAGCAAATAAAAAATAACCAATATGAAACGATCAGATCAGTTAACATTCAAAATAAGCAAACTATTATTCTTGAACTCAATTTATACAACTTTATAGCTACTTTAAATAAATTCACTATACAAACATTTAATTGAGATGGATCGTCTGTACACTATATTAATGAGTCACATTGGTGCAAACATGTCTCTGCATTCACATACATATCGTAAGAGAGATGGTAAGGTGGTTAAAGTATATTACTTCCAAGTATCAGATTGTAAGATGAAACACCACATTGGTTAATCCAGATTAAGCATTAAGACGATATTGCTTTCTTTTAAATTTAGCTGTTGGTATATTTTGTGTTCTAACGCTCGAACATCAGCTCACCAGCAGCATCCTAAGAATTAGAAATCTTCTGTCACTGGGCACCGAACACAAAAACAAGAAGTAGGGAATACTCAAGGTTTATTTATAAGGTCAGTTTATATATTTTAAAAAAGTTTACAGAATTACATGTGACCTTGAGTTCCTAAAAGGTACTAGAAATCGTCTTAAAGTTGGTAACATAGTCGATAATTGTTCAATCGGACAGCAAAAAAAAATAATTCGTCGTTGTTTAACATTCTCTTGCAAATATCTCAAAAATCCTACCTGGTCGAAGAACTTTTCAACATCTCCCTAACCTCTGAAAACTTTTACATAGAATTATTGGAAACTCCTATACCTATTCTGGTATAAGTTGTGAAAGTGAGTGGAAGTATCCACAACTACATTTTACTTGTGGGAAAAAATTAACCAAGTACAAACTTATACATGAAAATAAAACAGAAAATCATAATAAAATGTCTTTTGGTTCAAATAATTACGTTTTAGTCTACAATTACAAATCAAATGGAGAGCCTGATGAACATTTCACTGATAAAGCCAACCATAAATTCTTATAATGTACTTAACAAGATAAAGACAAAGATTCCTGTGTAACAAATATCAAACTTGAATGACTAGCAATACTTCTAGTCAACACTAGTGCATCCATCTCAAATTTACAGTTGTCATTAATGTTTACATTTGAACTGATCAATTGTAGCAGTTATTACACTCTACAAGACTGGGATTCATTTAGTAACAAGTTTTAAACATGATAAAGTGTTGTTTCACTTTAAGGATAAAATTCTCAGATGAATACTGGGTATATTAAATAGTTGACTATTTGAAGCTCTATGATGAACAATATAAATATATATCTCATACCTATCTAGACACGTTTAGAAACGTGTCACACAAGGGAACTCAATAATTTAAATGAAATCCTAAAGATAACTTTATATTTTCAAGAAATTTTACTCGATTAAGAAAAATGAATGATGTACATTTCGACATTAAATGACACATAAGTGAACATAAGGAAGTGATCATTATGGTTAACTCATGTTGACCATATGAACGTGATTATTTTATTTGATTATACTGACTCATATATTGTGGTAATATCAAATGACTCTTAAATCAAAGTTGGACAATGAACGTTAGTGAATGATCATTTCATTTCTTCATCATAATAACCCTATTAGCAGCATTAGCGAAAAAATAACACAAACAGATAATTTAAATAGACAAAATAGCAAACAGCACAAAAAGAGCACATTTCATACCAAGATTTACTACAGTATTCAATAATGTCATATAGGTTCCTCCAATAACTGGATCACTTATTTTGGCATGAAACGCATGAAATTGTACATATATAATCGTTGATGTAATTTTATCCAAAAGGAAGCCACTTATTATTATTGCATAGAATATCAATGGAAATGAATAAGTTGGTTTATCTTTCACTAAAATAATTGTATTATTATTAATATTATTAGTTGTGTAATTATTTAATGTTGTCATATTCGAATTATTCATCATTAAGGTATCATTTGAAATCATTCGAAAATGCGGTATGAAATGAATAATTGGAATAAATAAACAATTTGTCAGTAGCCTGGATCATTTTCAAAGTAACAAACACAGAAACTTGAACAGTAATAACACGATAATAAAGTAATGTGAACATTTCTGCAAAGTTGTTAAAATTAGAATTTTAATGACAAAATTTTCTACAAGTAAATAAGTTAGCTTTTGCACAAACAAATGACTATCAGGACTCAGTAGCTAAGTGGATAACGTGGTAGCATTTGAAGCGAACGGTGCTGGGTTCGAGTCCCAGAGTGAACATCAACTCCGAGATGCCGGTACATCCAGCTGACGAGTCCCAAATGGGGTGAAACGCGCGTCTTGGATTCCCCTGCTAGCCACAATCTATCTTTGCTTATAATGCTTGTGAATTAAGGCAATATTGAGGCGATACGCACAGTATGCACATATACCAATAGAGACTGATTAATTGCAGTCCTAAACATCAATGGGAAGATTCAAGTAAACAATACCAAGTGAATTTAATAAGCTAAACTTTGCCGAATCATTTATAACTACAAAATTTCTGCTTAGATTGTAATAGTCTAAGCCAATAAGATATAAACCAAATGATAAATAGATGTTGACAAGTGCACACTATGGCCAAAAGTTCATTGAACTTTCTGAGTATAGTGACACGCTATTGATTGAAAATGTGGTTTGATTTATTGGGGAAGATGTATGTTTGTAAGTGAGTCATGAACATATTTTCGAATCGATTTAGCCAATAAACGTTCTGTCCTATCCGAACGAAAACCGAAGGAATGTTATCTTCCAGAACTAATTTATGGAATATTATTATATATGTACTCATATTGTAGAATTACTAAGTAATCAGATTATATATATCGTGAATCAATAACAACTTAGCGCCGATTCAAGATCATTGGTGCTGAACGGATTATGACTGGTGTTTTCTTACGTGAATTTAGACAGCAGGCCATAATCCATAACATGTTCCGTACTCACTCTTGCTTTTCTCACTCAAGTAGATGGCTGTGTTCCAGTATAAGAAACTAGCATATCAGTAGCAGGCTAGAACGACCACAAAAAATAACAGATTGCATTAATGGTGATGAAAATACAAAGTGATTACATCAGTAAAACCATATCAATTAGCAAAAATAATTACCTTGGTAAAAATATCATTAGACCAGAAGTTAATGGTTTCGGTCCAGTAGTAAAGCGCATAAATAAGAAGGGTAAAAAAAATCCATTGGCAAAAATCCAAGGTTTAATAATGCCAGTTTCTCTCTAGAAAAACCCTGTTCGATTATCTTTAAACTTGTAGCTCTATATGTACCAAAAGCACATACCTAATAATAGTAATAATAATGATAACAATAATGATGGGAAAAAATAACACAATTAAACAGGTAAGTTTATCAAAAAGAAATAATTGAGCTCCACTGATCGAGTTAGAGCTTATGGAGAACTGTTATTGGGATTGTTAACCTTAAATGGTATTCATCAAGGCTATCCACATTCTCTATTTTTGTTTAACTTCATCATATGTGATTTTTTTTTAGAAATAGCTCTCTCGTAGCCTGAATTTTCAGTAGCTGGTGTTTTACCAGGAAACTCACTTGTTGACTTGGAATAAGCAGATAGTATACTTTTTTCGGTGAAAACGCCGTCAAAATAAAGAGTCTTCTAACAACCTTAAGGAACGACGCAACAATTTTTGGATGTGATTCCCCTTCTCTAAATGCGGAATGTTGCTTCAAGACTGGTCTGCGTCAACGTCTAGCTTAATGATAGTCAGTGAGGTAGTTAAGCGAGTCAACCACTTAACTAATCTTGGAGCTCTTATCAGCCCTGGTTGGTTGATGTTTGATGAAATTTCAGTTGGCTGGTTGGGCATAAGGTATTAGGTAAAGATGGGAAATCGACTGATGAGATAGAAAATCTTCATTAACAGAGGTGATTGAGAAATGTATTAGGTAAACACAAACACCGCCTACCTAGACTCCCGATTATGGCTGGCGTAGGAGCAGGCCGTTAAAAATCTAGCAGTGATCAAATCAAGACGTACTATCAGTCTATAAATATACTAATTATTGGACTGAGACATAAAGCTTGATGTAGACTACTTGACTGGGGTCCACCCAACCACCGTTAACCAGCGGTGAGCGACTTTGGATAACATGGCTCGAGTAAGTTCATTCTTTATGTCCCCTTATTCTCTGAGTTCCCAAATTTCCTACTAAGTCTTCTCTCTTTCCTTCCATAGTTAATCTGTTCTACTGCTACTGATCCTGTTATTACTTTTACCAACGTAGGATTTGTCTTGAAACAATTGTGCTAAAGTGTTGTGGCAACTTGAATTAATCCACATGTGTCATGTTCTGTGTTGCATATGATCGACTGACTGACTGACTTATAATTGTTTCAAATTACATGCATATTAGGGAAAGAAGCATTATAAACCAAAATCTGTGAAGTCGAAAAAAGTTTTATTTTATTTCTACCAATAACTAATTCAAACAAACCCCATGTAAAACGTAGTATCATAAGTTAATCGGCTAATGTAGATACTAGCATTAAAATCCCTCATTTATTATAATTTGACTCGTATAAACTGGATTGCTCAACAATCTGAGGAGAACATCAATTTTATTAGATATCAAAGCCAAAAGTAATCATGTATAACTTTGACATTACCAATAAGTATTTGTGGATTTCTAATCTGAGACCAGTAAACATCATATTTTACACGTACGTTTCACAAGTCTAAACTATCATTCACTAAGAACTCTACAGTATCAACGTTAAAACTTGAAAACATCTACCAATTATGGTCAACACTCATTTTGAAAACGAATGATCGTTTCAAAATTGAATGAAATTGTGCGACGCTTGTATTAAATTAAGTATCATTGAATTCATAGTTATTGAATAGACAGCCACAATTATAGGGAAACTAGAATACACTTCACACAGTAAATAAACCTCGGGAAATATACTTCATACATTTTTGAAACCCAAAATAATTTTTAGTAAAACAAAAGATTAGAAAAACCGACAAAGTACAATTAAACAGAGAAATGA